AGGACAGTCCCACAATATTCCTTTTCCTATCTCTTGCCTTCATTCACCACCCCCTTCTTTTTGAACAATCATCTACCCGAGAGACAGCACAGCAGCAACTAGAAGCAGTTATTAATTCTTTTACTGCAGTGTTTTGTTCAGATTGGGTTTCCTCCCTATGTTTCTGTAGTTGATTCTTTACTTCAGATGCTATGAGTTCAGAGAATTCTTTCTTTATTTCAGAAAATAATTCCAGTCTGAGTTCCTCTATAACTTTCTGCTGTTGCTTATTTACTATTGACGCTATTAATTCATACATCTGAGCTGAGCTAGTAGAAAAGAATTCCGTTCTAAGTTCCTCTGTAACTTTCTGCTGTTGCTTATTTACTGTCAATGTTATTAATTCATACATTTGAGCTGAGCTAGTGTCCTCTGCACTTGTTCTGGGTGGGCATTGGGTTTCCTCCATATGTTTCTGCATTTGATTCTTTACTGCAGATGCTATTAATTCAAGGATTTCTTTTTTCATTTCCAATCTGAGTTCCTCTATACCTTTCTGCAGTTGTTTCTTTATTACAGAAGCCATTGCTTCATTGATTTCAGCTGTGTGATTATCAGTTTGTTCTGTGTTAGTGTCCTCTGCACTTGTTATGGGTGGGATTGGGGTCTCAGATTGTATTTTTCTCCTTCTCATTGTCATTTTGTGTAGCACTGTGTTCTGACCTTTGTTGTAGAGTGTTGGTGCAGTTATAACCTTAGCACCTACTGAAATTCAGGTGCAGATCTACAAAGTTTGGCTTTATCCAGCTGTGCCTGGCTTGGGTCTGGCTGCTGTGCTCAGCTCCTTTCTGCTGCTGCCCTTGGGAGTGAATCTGATGTGCCCCTCTGGCAAGATGTTCTGCTCCTGGACTAGCTGGGTGGTTCTGTCCCCTACTCTCTCTGCAGGGATTGCAGCTGCAGGGTTTCACCCCAGGCCTATATGCCAGGCCTAAGCTGAGTTGGAGGGGACAAGGTGGAGTAGGGGGGAGAGGAAGTTCTCCCACACACTCACCGGGCCTGGGCTAGGGCTATCTGGGGGTCCCCAGAATGCAGCAGAAATTCTCACTGGGCGGGTGGGGAGAGGGCCTGCTGCGCAATGGTGGGGGATCCCAAGGGGGTGGAAGAGGGTCTCACCCACGCTGCGCCTTGACTTGGACCACCACACAGAGTGGCCAGTGCAGGGTAGCTGGAAGTTCTCCCACACACTCACTGGGCCTGGGTTAGGACTGGATCGGGGGATTCCAGGAAGGCGGCAAAAATTCTCACTTGGCGGGCAGGGTGGGGGGGTGCTGCGGAGTGGTGGGGGAGGGTCCCAAGTGGGTGGAAGAGGGTCTTACGCACGCTGCACCTGGGCTGGGACTAGTAGGTCCCGTAGGCGCTGGGTAGCTGGAAGGTCTTCCACACACTCACCAGGCCTGGGCTAGGACTGGATCTCTATTTTTTAATTGGTTTATTTGATGTTTCCTTGCTTATTTTAGGCATTCATTATTCTGGATACTAAGCCAGGATATGAGCCTGTGGCTTATTTTTTTGATCATACAATGCCTTTTATGCACAGAAGTTCTGCATTTTAATATGATAAAATTGGTTCAGTTTATGAATATATGCTGCCAATTGATAAAAATTAATTTTATTGATTTATTAAATTTTTTTCCCAAAGACTACATGTCTTTATGCTCCTCTTTAAGAAATCTTTCTTTATCTTAGAGGTCACAAACATAATCACTTATGTTTTCTTCTAAAAAGTTGTAGAGAGGCTGCGCATGGTGGCTCATGTCTGTAATCCCAGCACTCAGGAGGCTGAGGCAGGAGGATTACTGTGAGTCTGAAGCCAGCCTGAGCTACAAAGTGAGTTTAAGGCCAGCCTGAACTACATAGTGAGACCCTGTCTCAAAGAGACCAAAAAAAAGATGCTGTAAAGTTTTGCTCTTCCTATGGTTCTTTGATCCACCATAACTTTTCACCATTATTTTTGGATATGGTAAAAATCAGATATTTAATTATTTAGTTTCTTTTTTCCATATATACATAAAATTGATTACCGCAGCATCATTTGGTGATGACCGTCCTCTCTTGGTTCCTGTCGTGCACTGAGTCTCCGTGTATTTGTAGATTGCTTGCTGTCCTTTGTACCCTTTCAGTTGTCCTTTCCATCCCTGTCCTAGAAGCTTGGTGCCTTATCTCTTAAAGATTTATTAGAAATCCTACTTGTCTTCTAGCAAGAAGCCTCTTTTGTGTGATTCATAGTATGTGAACTACTCTTGGCCCTTAGCTCATCTTTAAAAGTTTGAAAAGACCCTCACCAAAAAAAGTTGGAGCTCTAATTTCAGCTGCATTGAATTTCTTAGTTAACATTGGGGGAACTGATAAACTGTCCCAGTTACTCTTCTCTCATTGCTCGGACAGATACCCGACACCCAAAAGGAAGGAAGGAAAGGTTAATGTAGCTCACAGTTACTGGAGGCTTCAGTCCGTACTCAGCTGGCTCCAAGGCAGAGCAGCACATGGCAGAGGGCAACCTCTCATGGCAGCAGCAAAGAGCAAAAGCAAACGGGCAGGAGCAGTGGCAACAATGGCTGCAGAGAGCAAGTCTGTCTCCCTTCAGTGGCATTCAGGCTCTCAGCACCAGGCTGGGTGCAGCACTCACACCCATAATCCCAGCGGTACTAAGACCCATAATCCCAGCCTTGATCATGAATTAATCTCAAACTCTAGAAGTCCCTGCCCCCTGACTGCCTCCCTTGAGCTAGTGAGGCTTTCTGTCCGTAAATGCAGTGTTTCTATACACCTTTCCTTAATTTTTCTGTATGGATTTTAAGCAAGATTCACAATCTCCACAATGACCTTGCCCATTTCTTGTTAGATTTCCTTTCCAAAGCTTGTCCTTTTTTATCCCTTTGCTTTAGAGTGGTCAGGATCTGTAGCATCCACAGAATAGAAGTGACAATAGCACAATTCCTTCTTTTGTTCCTGATTTTAAAATACGAATAATCATAAGCACTTCTGGTAGGGTCTGTAGCTTTTATCAGGCAGACAACTGCCTTCATATTTTTAATTTGTTGTGCCTTTTTACACAAAAGAATATCAGTATCTGAATTCCTACCTGCCCAAGCCCTGAAGTACCTCTGTGAGCAGGACAGAGGGCCCTGGCGTAAGAAGCAGAGTCTCTCGGGAAACTCCTCCTCACACGTCCATCTGTCTCTTCGCTTATGCATAGCTGGAAACGAGGCTGCAGCAGCCAGGGAGACAGAGTGGGCCCCGGAGTGATGGCCCCGCTGAAGCGTCCTGGAGAGGCAGGGCTGGAGTTGGCCCGGGATCTCCAGGGGTGTGGGGAAGAAGGGCGTTTGCAGAGGAAGGAAGACCTGAGCACAGCCCCAGAGTCGAGAGGTGGCCGCTGCGTGGGGGGAGGGCACCCAGGTGCCCATCTTGCCAGGGGGGCCTGCCTTCTCCCTCAGGCACCTGCACTGCACCCGGAACTACATCCACCTGAACCTCTTCGCGTCCTTCATCCTGCGAGCCCTGTCCGTCTTCATCAAGGACGCCACCCTCAAGTGGATGTACAGCACGGCTGCCCAGCAGCACCAGTGGGATGGGCTCCTCTCCTACCAGGTGTGTGGTGTCACCAGATGGGCTGGGGACAGGTGGCTGGTGGAGGCTGGCTGCTCTTGCTACTCCAGAGCGAGGAAAGGCGAGGGCCACCCAGCCTCATGCTCAGGGAGCCCTGCGCTCCCCTGGTCGATGGCCAACGCAGTTCCACTGAGAGACCGTCCGGTCTGCTGAGGGAGGCAGTCTACCTGGGGACTTTCCTTCCAGTGTGATGAGGGTGGCCATCTATCTAGACAGGACCCAACTAGGGCAGAAGCCCCCAAAGGGCATTCCCAGTCTTTGGAGACCGACCTGAGCTTGAACCCCAGCCCTGCCACTTACAAGCTGCAAACTTCAGGGCCGGGTGCTTCTTTGTGCCCATATTCTCACGTGTGGGGATAGATTACGGTGCTTTCTGCCACGCTAGAAACTAAAGCAGACAGAGCTGTTTAGCACCGACCCGGGGCAGAAGACGTAGCTCTCTGGCCCTGAATGAACTGGGGCAGGACAGTAGCTGGGGAGGACAGGGATAGGTGTCAGGAGAAGGAGCAGGCAGGGCAGCGGCCCCACCACCACCTCGCGCGCCTCCTGACAGGACTCTCTGGGCTGCCGGCTGGTGTTCCTTCTCATGCAATACTGCGTGGCTGCCAACTACTACTGGCTGCTGGTGGAAGGCGCGTACCTCTACACACTGCTGGCCTTCTCTGTCTTCTCAGAGCAGCGAGTCTTCAAGCTCTACCTGAGCATCGGCTGGGGTAAGGCCACCTTGGCCCGAGATGGGGGAGGCTCTGACCCCTGTCCGACTGGATGCTCAGAACATATGGCTGGGCCCGGGCTGTAACCACCTCTTGTCCCTTAACGGGAGCCTCCATACTTACCTGCCCAAATCCCACCCCTACACCGCCGCCACAGCACTGGGGGCACAGTCCCGTCCTTATGCCCGGGCTCCCAGAGTCCTGACCAAATCCAACACCATCCAGGGCAGCTGAGGCCCGCGGAAAATAGTGAGTCCTGGGCCTTGGTGGGGAGGAGAAGGAGAGGGCGGGAGGGTGGAGACCGAGGCAGGCAGGGTGATGACGAGGAGGAGGGTACCGAGAGCCGGGAGGGGCAGGGCGGCCAGAGCGCAGCCAAGGAGGGGGGTGGGGGACCTCGGACGTGCCTGGAGCCCAGCGGGAAATGTTCTAGCCAAAAAAGTTTGCCAAGAACCATCGTGTCTTTTTTTTTTGCTGGAACATTTCTGGTTGTGCTTCTGCCTCTCGCCACATGGGATGCTGAGGAGAAGCAGGGCTAGGAGCCCTGCGCTGCTAGGAAGGTGACCGCATAGCCCTGGCTGGAGGTACCCACCTGAGACAGGACCCCCATTCCTGCCCAGCTGCCTGGGGAGCTCAGGTCCCCTTCCTACACCTCGGCTGCCTCCCTGCTTCCCACTCACTCATCCATACCTCTCATTCCTTCCTCCCCACCTCAGGCTGCTCTGGCTTCCGGAAACTTCCTCCCTTCTTGCCCTCCACATAGCCCCTGCCTCTGGTCCTTAGAAGGCTGCTCTTGGTCCAGGAAGGTGCCAGGAGCATCGTCCCATGTGGCTGCTGGTACGCGCGCGTGCGCATGCACGCACGCACACACACACACAGAAGTGCCCCGGCCTCCTGACGACATTGACATTTTAGAGTATGAGCTTCTTTTAGAATATTCATTGTGGCCAGTGTCTTGCTAGACCCAGAGAGGAACAGGGCTTATAGGCAGAGCAGACACTGGAGCCCAGACCTCCTGACTCCCAGGCCTTGGGTCCCCTGCTTGTCTCAGCCTAGATTGCATCCCTCAGTCCCATATGGGCCCCACCAAGCAGGCTCAGCCTCTGTGCAGGTAGCAGGTAGGCCTGGCTTCTGTACACCAGTGCCAGAACCTCGCTCCCCACAGGACCCACCGCCCCTTATACCCCTTACATCCCTTTCCTCCCCTTATAGGCTTCTTGAGCCAGCTAGGCAGTCAGTCAGGCAGGGGTGGCTGAGAGGCCAGCAGCTCCCTGGATGTGGGCACAGGGAGGAGCAGGCCATCACGGGGCACTCGGACTGTCCTGGGATGGATGACCATGTCTAGCCATTCTTGGAAACAGCATTAGTGTTGTTAGGGCCCATCACCATGGCAACCTGAGGGTAGGACCAATCAAAGAGACAGTGTGGAGTGTGCAGGGCAGCAGGGTGGTTGGTTGGAGTTGGGGACACACAGTGCCCTGGGGGAGGGGTAGCAGTCCTTTCCTACCACCCCACACTCAAGCTCAGGGCTTGAGGTTGGTGGAGCAGCAGGACAGAGGGCACTTCCTCAACTAGAGCATCTTTTTCTTGAGGAATTGGGGTGTGGAGAGGCAGAAAGAGGAGGAGGAACAAAGAGTGAGAAAGTGAGGCCCTCGCAGACACCTGAGGGCTCTGTTGTGATGCCAGGAGGCCTGGGCCAATGAGGATGTTTGGGAGGAGCTTTTAGCGTTGCACTCAAGTAGAGGATTGAAGTTAGCACTCTGGCATCATTGGGGCGGGGGTGCTTGAAAGCCATGTCAACTTGTCAGACAGTCCATGAGGAGCTGGTGGCCCCAGAAACTCACAGGAGAGGAGGGGAGGGGAAGGAAGAAAAAGAGGAGAGGTTGGGTGAGGGAAACGTGGCTTCCCACAACCAGCTGTGTGTCTTCTGTATGTGCTTTTCTTCCCCAGCCTGTTTCTGGTTTTCTTTCTTTTCTTTTTTTTTTTTTTTCTTCTGTTTTTTGTTTTCTGGGTTTTTTGTTTTGTTTTGTTTTGTTTTTAATGTATTTAGTACAGGGTCTACAGGGTCTCACTATACAGATTGGACTTGTAGTGATCCTCCTGTTTTCAGCCTCCTAAGCACACACCACCATGCCCAGTCTCAATTGCTGTCTCAGGGGCAGGGCCAGCATAGAAGGCCAGGGATTGAACCCCGGCCCGTGCGTCTGCCTATGCAGGTGCTTTAATCCAATGAGCTATCTGACTGGCCCCTGTTTTGGTTTTCTAAGTGGGGGAATGATGCGGCCAGCAGGGCGTGTGTCGCATGTGGCAGAGCTGTGTTCCCACTTCTGAAAAAGGCCCTGTGGAGAGGGGGATGAATACAGCTCACCAGGCCTGACGTGGGTGAGCGCCCCCTTGCCGTGGTGGTGGGTATCACAGAGAAAGGCCAGTGCATGGCTGGCCTGCAATCTACCTACTCAGCTGGCTCAGGTGGGAGGATCACAAGTTCAAGGCCATGTGGGCAATTTAGTGAGACCCTGATGGGGTGGGGGGAGGGAGGCAGGCAGGCATGCAGGCTGGCTGGAGATGTAGCTCAGCACCAGCACAAGGCCCCAGGTTCAACTCCAGTACCACAAAGCAACAGAGTTAATTTCTGGACACAAGTGTGGCTTGCGGAACTGGCGTGCTTCTGCCTGAGAATTCACTGGTGTACTGAGGCTCTCCCCTCATTGATATATTGACTATTCATTTGTTCATCCCATCCTCGCAGAGCACTGGCTGTGTGGCAGGAGCCACACCTGGGCATCTAAAGATCTCTCTATTCCTTATGTATTTATTTATTGCTACCAGGAATCGATCTCAGGACCTCATGCTTACCAGGCAGGCTCTGCGCTGCTGAGCTACAGCCCCGGCCCTACTCCTTTATATAAAAAATAAATTAACTGCCTTGTGTAAAATAAATGGGCCAACTGAGTATGGAGCTACACACCTATAACCCCAGCACTCTGGGACGCTGAGGCAGGAGGGTGACAGGTTCCAGCCCAGTCTGAGCAACTCAGTGCCTTAGTGAGACCCTGCCTCAAAATAAAGTTAAAAAACCACTGAGGATGTAACTCCGTGGGAAGGCTCTCACTGTACCCCAGGACTGCACAACAAGTGGGGGCATCTGATGATGCCACTGTGTGCAGCTTCGCCCCCAACCCACCCTGTCAAGCACAGGACCTGCGCTGTGGCTGCCATGGTGTAGACATCAGGGAGCCCAGGGGCCCTAACAGTGTCAGGAAGGGCTGCGAAGTGGTTCCACCCGGCAGTGTGGTCCTGGAAGAGACCCCTCAAGGCTCCCCCTGCATATGCATGTTCCCCACTACCCCATGAACTCACCGTTGTCCACACACCTCAGTATACACCCCTTCCTTACGGCAGACCCATGAATCCAACTCGAGAGGCGGCAGTAGAGACAGGCGAGGAGAAAGCGGGAGCCCAAAGTCACTGAGGGTAACTGACCTGGGCGTGTAGTCGCAGCCCCGGAGTCCAGCTCCACCGGGGCCCTTCTGATTCCCTGCTTCATCTCCAAACCTCCTGACCACCTAGGGACCTGTCCCAGGAAGATGGACAATCCAGGTTTAGCATGACCAACCGGGACTGGACTCTCAGGGAGAGCGGCCTGCAGCTCGACCCTCAGGGATCTGGAAAGCAATTGCATTAGGTTTCTGCTGCTACGTAACAAGCAACTCCAAACACAGCTGTCTAAAGCAGCAGATGATGATCACTTCTCAGGGTTACGTTCTGGGATCGGGGTTCAGCAGAGCTGGGTACCCCAGCTCAGGATAGATCGGTGAAGATGCTGGCCAGGTCGCTGCATTGGTGGAGAATCGACGCTGCGCTCCCCCGCCGGGCTGGTGGCAGGAAGCCTCCATTCCTTCCTGCAGGAGCCTCTCTGAGTGACCTCACGGCATGACAACTGGGTTCCCCAAAGGAAATGATGAGCTGGACGGGGGAACCCTGGACAAGTCGCATAGTCTTTCATAGCCCGATCTCAGAAATGACCATTACCGTGGCTTCCCCCATAGGTGATTGGAAGCACAAGCCAAACCTGAGGCGCGGCAGACCCAAAGCCATGAATACCACAGTGTGGAGATGAGTGGGTGCCCTCGGAGAGGCTGTGTGCCACACTTGTCAGCCCCAGGGTGTTGGTCACCTTTGCTTCACTGTGACGAAATACCTGAGGTGGTTACCTTAGAAAGAGCAAAGCGTTATTTAGCCCACAGGTCTGGAGTTTCCAGCCCAGGGTCAGTCAGACTCATTGCTTTGGGCCTCTTGTGGGGGTGTCAGCGCCTGGACAGGTGTATGTGGGTCCCAAATCCTGTTTAGGGACAGGTCCCCAGGGACTGAAGGGCCTCCTACAAGGCCCCGCCTTCTTCAGGTGCCATTGCCTCCTAGTAGTGCCACCCTAGGGACCAAACCTGTATGTACTCATCTTTGGGGGATGCTTATCTAAGCCACAGCAAGCAGCCAGGTGGAACCTCTTAGAGGCTCTGTGGGTGGTTAGCTGGCCTGCCAGTATCAAACAGAGGGCTCCTGTCACTCGCTCAAACTTTTGCCTCAGCTGGCAGCAGGTGCCAGGGCTGGGGGACAAAGCCTGAGGGGTTTGGTGGCTGAGGGAGTTGGCTGAGATGGATCTGGGGCTGCAGGAAGGGGGCCAAGAGCATCAGAGCTCCTCTGCCCCCAGCTGTCTCCTCTGCCATGAGCGGCCCCGGCCCTGTCTCTGTACTTGGATGTCCATGTCCTGAGGAAAAGCTCCGACACTGTGCCTGCCCTGACAGGGCCTCTTTCTGAGGAAGAGTCTGGGCATTCGTGTGGGACCCTCGCCGCCTCCTGTCACCCATGACCCAGACCAGCCTCAGAACAGTTTGGCACCATGCAAGGAGATGGACTGGAGGCGTGAGGGCCCTAGGCACACGTGACAGGCATTCTGTCCTGCCAGCCCCTTTCAAGGTCCTCTGTCTTTCCCTCTCTCCTCCTAGGTGTCCCCCTGATGTTTGTTATCCCCTGGGGCATTGTCAAGTACCTCTATGAGGACGAGGGGTGAGTGTCCTGCTCCAAGGGGCTGTGTCACTGGGGTCACCATCCTTAAAGTCCACAGGATTCTTGGGCCGTGGGACATGGAGGCTCCCACCTTTGGGAGGGCCGCACAAGGCACTAGGAGCTTACTGTATGAATTCAAGACCTTGCCCTGGGGTGAGGTGGTGGCAGTGGTGCTGGGTCCCTTAGGTACAAGGTTTTGTCCACACAGCTGTGCTTGTAGGTCCATGGAAGGTCGACTGGGGGCTGTGTGCAACTCTCTGTGACCATGTAGTTCAGAACTCTGTGTGTGTGTATGTACCTGCAGACCTCTCGCATGGCTCTGTGGGCCACCTACTTATGGGGTGGCTCTGTGGCTGAGTGTACGGCTGGTGTAGTTAGACCCCTGTACCTGCTCCAGGGGATGGAAGGCCTGTGAGTCCATCTGTCTGTGTGCTGTCTCTGTCCTTCCCCAGGTGCTGGACCAGAAACTCAAACATGAACTACTGGCTCATTATCCGACTGCCCATTCTCTTTGCTATTGGGGTGAGTGATGGTGTGAGGGTGCAGGTAGGAGCTGTGGTACACCTGGGCCAGGGCAGGGGAAGGGCTAGGGAGGTGGGTACAGGTCACCAGCCACCACCCACGTGCTCTGCAGGTGAACTTCCTCATCTTCATCCGGGTCATCTGCATCGTGGTGTCCAAACTGAAGGCCAACCTCATGTGCAAGACAGATATCAAGTGCAGGTGACCTCACCACACTGGCTCTGCTGGGCCCTCAGCCCTTCCTTCCTGTCCAGTGGGATCCTAAGTTGCTTAACTCGGAGCCCTATGTGGCCTTCTACCCCTACCTAGGCCTGGCTTAGGACCCTCTTCCTGTCCCTGGGCAGCCCCTGAGCTTCTGAGAGGCCATGACCTCTTTCCTGCCCTCCAGAAAGCCTACCCAGGGGTGTTTGGAGTAGAAGGGTGTCCATGAGCCAGGTGCCAGGTCCTGGGCAGAGTGGAGAGGGCACAGAGCATGGAGAGGAGTCCAGCATGACCCTGAAAGTTTCACTCTGCCTCCCAGACTGGCCAAGTCTACACTGACGCTCATCCCCCTACTGGGGACCCACGAGGTCATCTTTGCCTTCGTGATGGACGAGCACGCCCGGGGGACCCTGCGCTTCATCAAGCTGTTCACAGAGCTCTCCTTCACCTCCTTCCAGGTGACTCACGCCTGGGGGGCCTTTGCTTGGGCAGCTCCAGAGTAGGGGAGGGAAGACACACGCCTGCATCTGCCTCGCGCAGATGGGAGAAGGGAGAAGGCTGCAGCCCGAGGGAGTGACCCTTGCCCAAAGTTGCATGGTGGAGTGGAGCCAGAATGAGGGTCTCCACGTGTCCTGACAGCTGGCCAGGCTTCCCTGTAAGCACAAGGACAAGAAGCCTTCTGGGACACGCATCGGGACTCCGCCTGGTGTCACAGTTGCTGTTCACTGTGTGGTGGGCAAAATGCCAGCGCCTTAGACAAACACTACACTCACAGAAGCCCAGAGATTGCAGCCCAGCCCCCACCTTACAGAGGAGGAGAGTGGGGAACAGAGATGTTAAAACAAGGTTTAAAGAGTCACAAAGTTCCAAAGCTGGAGGGTGAAAATATAAAAACTTGGCCTCAGCCCCTCGAGAGTGTTTGGGATATATACAAGTCTGTGTGAGTATATGAGTGTGTGCATGTGTGTGTGCTTGTGTGTGCACACGCGTGTGTGTGTGCCTGTGTGTGCGTGCACACACACACAGAGATGGAGCATGAATTGGGAGCACCGAGACCCAAGCGAGCAAATGGGCAGGATGGGGACAGGCCCATGCTCTTGGGTGCTGTCCCTCCTTGAGTCCAGGATCCTGCAGACAGGACAGGTATCTGTGGGGCTTGTCCAGCACCTGAGCCAGGGCTCCTCTTTCCTCAGAAAGAAGATGGGAGGGAAGCTGTGCCCATCTCTGGGTCTGCCTGGGCTCCCTGATTTGAGGAGGGGATGTTGAAGGGAAGCCCCAGGACCCGTCTCCCTGCTGACCTCCTCTTGTTTGCAGGGGCTGATGGTGGCCATCCTGTACTGCTTTGTCAACAATGAGGTGAGGTGCGAGGGCTGCTGGGCTGCTGCCACAAGGTGGTAGGAGCTGGGCCCTGGGGATTCCCTGCTCGCCCCACTGAGGCCCTGGACATGCCCTGACCTCTTGCCTGAATGCACCATGGGTGTTCTGTGCAGGTCCTGGTGGATGCCATGTCTGTCTATCTGTCTGCCTGCCTACCTGTCTGTCTGTCTCGCTTTCACACACATGCCCATGCATGCGTGCAGGCATAGCTTAATAGTATTAGAGCTTAAGGGAGACCCAGCACCAGGTTTAGGGGTTCCTGGGTGGCAGTGACCATCTACTACGAAGAGTCCCGACACACACGACCAAAGCACAGGCTTGGGGCTTTAATGATAACTATGTCATTTAATGGCCACACCCCTCCAAAACATACTACTGAAATTCTGATTTCATTGAGCTCGTTTTTTTGCACCTGAAAGCACTGAAGGCCAGAGACTATAAGAAAGCTTTCATATAGATTTGATTTAAAGAATAAAATACTGTGTTCTTCATATACACAGGTGAGAGCCCTAGTCTACCAGAGAAAGGGGATAGATTCCCCCCGTGGCTTTGGGTGTTGGTGGGTTAAGGCAGTTCTTGCTGACCCCACAAAGCCCTCTCATCCCCTCTCAGTCTCGGGAAGGTCCCGCTCCTAGAAGAGGGCGGCAGCAGGCACCTGAGAAGGCCTCCCCCTGCGAGGTACCAGGTTTGTGCAAGAGCAGGGCAGGAGCACCTCAAGCCATCACAGTGGATGTCAAAAAACGCCATAGCGTCCTCCCCCAGATCCCTTCCAGAGAGGAAAATGAGTAGTCATGGGGCAGCAGCAGGGCCCCCTTGGGTCCCCTGGAGAGACTTAACCCCAATAGGAGGAACCCTGGGAGGACACCAAGGACTTGGGTACATCCAACGCTAAGGACACTGGTGCTCAGACACCTGACCCAGCGTGGCTTTCACTTCACTGAGGCTGGGAGCTCGGGGATCTTAGAGTCAGCACATTCATTCAGATTTGCCACATGCTGCAGATGTCAGGTGCGTGGAAGGGACAGCGGAAGAGGCCCCCCGTGTTTCAGGGAGCTGGGAGCTGTGGCCCAAAGAACAAAGTGTGAGCAGGAAGGAATGATGCAAGGATGCGGCTCAGGTGCATCTGCTCTGGCCCAGCCCACTGCCGGGCACCTGGGACCCCAGGCGAGTTCCTCTCTCATCCGTCAGAAGGCCTGCCTGGGAGCCCCTGCCTGAGAGTGCAGTCAGGTGAAGCCTGCGCACAGTGCCGAGAACCTGCCCGCTACCTCCGGGCTGCTGCTTGGCATGCGCAGCACTGCACCTCGGGCTGCAGGATACTCAGGACCCTGTCACAGCCATCCCGACACTGTGGCTATGACATTTCAGTGGACACTGCAGAGAACCTGACACTGGGCAGCTGGAAGGGGAGGGCGCACCACCCTGTCCCTGGTGCCTCCTCTAGCTTCCCCTGAGCTGGCTTCCCAGGAGCTCAGAGCCTGTAGCCTGCAGATCTCTAAGAGGGAGAAAAACCAGCACTTCCTCAGGCAGAGGCCCGAGCGCTGCTGCTTTGTATTCCAGCCTGGTAGTGGGATGGGATGGGCAACTGTGACCTGCCTGTACCTGCCATGTGGCGATGTGGAGTACAGGCTGGGAGGAGAGATTGAGGTCCCCTGCTGCACCCTGCCACTTTCCCAGCCCACCTGTTTCCCACTTGCCACCTCTGGCCCTAACGGCCCTGCTGCCTGCACTCAGCTCAGCCTCCCCCACCTGTGCAGGGCCCCTCCCAGGCTGCAGCCCTCAGCTGCCTCCAGTTCTGTCCTTGAAAGCCCCATCACCTCCCTCCTCACCCGCCATGTACAGCAGACCCAGCTCTGGTGGGCAGGAGGGATGGCCCCACTTTCTTGCCCTGATCTTGGCAGAGTCCGATCCCAAGTCCCCCGAGTCACTCCTCTCTGGCCAGGCCTGGCTGTCCTTCCCGCTGGTCTTGCTCCCTTCCCAGCCTCATGCCCTGAGGTCCAGGAGACCCTGCTGAGAGGCCTGGAGAGCCAGCCTCCTTTCAACCCAGCGCCCCATTCCTTTAAACCCACCCCAGAGACTCCCCCAGGCACAGGGACAGAGGCATCTCATCCCTGGGCCACCGAAGACCCATGAGGCCCCAGGCTGAGGGCTCTGTCTGCAAGAGCTGCTCTCCAGACCAGGGTTGCCATAGCAATCCCAGGTACTTGTGACCCGAGGAGGAAAGATGGCCTGAGCACCAGTGCCCTGTGGCTGTCGAGATCTGCATCAGCTGCTGGTGGCCGGGTTGGGACAGGGAAGGGACGCAGGGCCTGGAGCTGGTGTCTGAGAGCCGGAGTGAGGTGGCCCTGGAGCCTGGAGTTCTGGCCTCCCTGCGGTGTGGCCCCGGGAAGCCCACCTGCCTCGCTCCCTTCTTCCCTCCAAGTGCAAATAGAGCTGAATGAGCACTGTCAATTCACCCAGGGCCAGGGCTGGCATGGCGCCTGGTCAGAGTGGGTGCTCAGGCCTGCACAGCTCAGAGGGCAGGGAGGAGGTAGTGCACCGTGTCTCCCGGATGATCAGGCTGTTGTCTTTATTTCTTTTTTATTTTATTTTTTATTCATTTTAATGAAAAAAAAAATAAAATAGCAATGAAACAGTTTCAAAACAGGTTAGTAGGACAGTTACAAAAATCGATACATTGTATATTGTTGTCTTTGTAGTAGTTATTCTGAGGCTGTTTTATTTGCTTAACTGAGGAACAGACATGACATTAGATGCCCATTTGCTTATTTATATAAAACACACACAATCATTCCCTGCTGCATGCTGGGCCTCATGCTGGGGGTGGGATGTTGAGAAGAGGAAGATGTAGTCCTGGCCTTCGAGCAGCAAGAGGGAGAGACAGCCAGGGCAAGCAGAACCTCAGGGCTGCTGTCAGCTGTCAGCCGGAGGCCAGGCATGGCAACTAAGCTGAATCCAGGTTCAAATTCTGCCCGAGGCACAGGGACCACCTCTCCTCTTCCTCTTTATGCAGGGAGTGACCCAGCTACTTCACAGGCTTGGTGAGGACAGTGACTAAGATAATCCTGGAAGATGCTGGGCACACATGTGGTGGTCCTTAAGGACAGTCAGGACTACGGGAGCCACCACAGAGATTCACAGAAAGTGCTGAGGAAGCTGGGACAGAAGGGGAACCTATGTCACAGTTTACATCCTGCAGAGGTCCTTAGGACCACTGCAGTCTCTGAAGTGGCACCTGTAAGTGTACCTTAACTTACTTTCTGTCCCTTCCCTCCAGAGGAAGGCTGAGACAAGGTTTGCCTCCCTGCAGCTGCACAAAGGAAGCCACTGTCAGTCTCGGGGGTCCCCATCGCTGCTGTCAGCCAGGCTGCACACAGGCCTGGCCAGCCAGGGAGCAGACGTGGGGCCTGGTGCCATGGGGAGTGCCTCCTTCCCTCCCCCTCCCCAGGCCTGGGCTCCGCGGTCCATCCAGGATGCCAGGGCATCCTGACAGGCTGGCTCTGGGCATTCTCAGCTGTATTCAGCACAGAAGTTCTTTTAAGGGATGGCATGCAGCCATACCAGGCGTCTTGCTGGGCTTAGCTGGATGGATAACAGAGGAGGAGAGGGTGGTTGTTGGCACAGGGGCTGGTGGGAAATTGGCGGAGAGCGCCTCCCCCACAGCTGCTGGCACCTGGCCCTCATGGCACTTGGGCTTAGAGGAGCCTTGGTCTCAGACACCCCAGTGCATGGAGGCTGTGGGCAGGGCCATCAAAGGACAGCACAGGGGCTCTGGAAGGCAAGTGTATGGGAGTGAGACACCCAGAACAGCCAAGATCCCCTCTGTGAACAACCATCCCAGGCCATGCCCGGAGGCCACAGTGCACCCACAGTCCTCAAAGAGCTGGAGCCCTGCACTGGTATCTTTCTGCCCCCAGCCTCAGCCCACTGGAAGAGGCTTTTCCTGAGGGAATCCAGGCACAGCACTGCAGGGATTCTGGGTGCTGAGCTCCCCTGAGCGGGCCGCACCTCCATGCACCTCGATCCCACAGGTGGGCCTGGGCCACAGCTTAGCCAAGCCCCGTAGCTTCCTCCACTCCTTCCCGGTGAGGTACAGGGGCTGGATGGAAACCTCAGAGTTTAGATGTCTGCAGCAGGCACCACAAGGGACAGAGTCATGCTGTCCCCTTTAGCTGTCCCAGCTGCAGTCAGAGAGTGCATTCTCAGGTCTGGTTCCCTCCTCGCCCATCTCCTGTCTCCCGGCATCTCTCCCTCACTCTCTTTTCTTCCCTTAAATAATGCCATGATGGATTGTAAAAGGTACTTAGCTGAATCACAGACTTTAAAGATGGAAAGGACCAATTAGCTCATCAAACCCATCTCTCCTCTGAGGAGAGGCAGAAAATAGGAGACAACAATAAACAATTTTATTGGGATATTAATTTAGGTGCCTGAAGGCCTTGACTTGTGTCTCTTAATATAAGGCACTGAATTTTTCCCTTCTCCACTAATGTAATAATGGGGCCATTTTGTGAGCAGTTGGTTTGCATGATGGCTTTTGTCTCCCCTCCTCTTCCCACGGAAGGTCCAGATGGAGTTTCGGAAGAGCTGGGAGCGCTGGCAGCTCAAGCATCTGCACATCCAGAGAGACAACAGCATGAAGGCCCTCAGGTGCCCCGCCAGCAGCCTGAGCAGTGGGGCCACAGTGGGCAGCAGTGTGTACGCTGCCACCTGCCAGGCCTCCTACAGCTGAGACCCCAGCCCTGCCCTTCCTGTGGTTGATCCTTGCTGCTGGCCTGGAGCCACCCCAGGTGGGAGACACCCTCCGGGGGACAGGGGAAGGAAGGGACACATGTACACATCCACCTCTGCTTTCCCTCCCCAAAGCCATCAACCAGGCAAATGGGCAGTGCCCCCTGGGACCATGGGCACATTTTCTCGGAGGAGAAGCAGCCCACTAATTTGATCACGGTGGCAGGAGGAGAGGACAAACGATGGCTGCTAAAAGGAGAAGGAGTTCTTCCTGTTGAGCCACAAGGCCCTTGGGGTCCCCCCAGATGGAAAAGCAAGCCAACCCCAGACACAAACGCAAGGTCAATGGCTCGTTAGTGGGACTGGGGCCCGCGAGAGCAGGTGGTTCAGGGAGAGGCGGCTGTAACCCTCAGCCAGCTTGATGATGCGGGCAGCTGCGCCTGCATGCAGCTGGGGAAGCCTCCCCCTCGAGGGCAGCTCTGTGTGCATCTGGGGTGCTTGTGGCCCTCCACTTCCCCTTTGTCTCAGCACCAGTGTCCCCTTGAGGGCTATGTTTGGGCCACCAGCCACAGCTATTCCTGGAAATGGCTATGAGTGGTGATGGGAATAAACCCCAAGGAAGAGCCCAAAGGTTTCCTTTGCTGATGCCCACTTCTCCCGGGGTTCCAAATTGCTTTTGTGCCTGCTCCTGCCGTATCTGGAAGCCAGGGCTGCTGCCAAGGAGCCAGCCTAACTCTGTCCTGTAAAAGGTACTCAAGGATCCTCTGGGGTTTGTCTAGTGACACTTAAAGAATGTCCCCACTGTGGATGTCGACAGCCTACCCCTGCTGGGATCCTAGGGGACCAAGGGATCCCTCATAGAAACACTTTCTATTTGTGACCAGACTCTTTTTCTTGAATGGGAGTTGGGTGCATCCCCAAATTTAGGGGATATGTCCAAGAAAAGACTCCCTGGGGAAACCTACAATCCCTGTCATTACCAAGGCAACAGGCTCCCCCACCTTTGAAGTCCCTGCCCTTGGGAGCTTGTCTATACTTTATTCACTTTTCTTTATTGCTGTGAATAGTCTGTATTACAAACATGCAATTCTGATTTCTCCTACCTGAAGTGTAGTTGTCATGATTATGTTTGGAGAGAGTAGGGCAGTAATGAATTTGACACACCCACACTTGGAGCTAATTTTCATTCAGCCTGCCTCCAGCCTTGTCCCACAAGTAATGAGCAGGAGAAAGCCTGAATGGGGAAGAAAAATCTCTCATGCCCCCAGCCGTGGAGAGAAAGCCAACTCCTAGCATCATGGCAGAGACTCAGACAGAGGAGAACAGCTGTCCTAGGGAGACAGGTGATGAGGATGCAGAAGTGATGGAAGCGTCTAGAGTGGGAGAGAAGTCCTGGGAGGGCAGAGGGAGAGGACAGATTCCCTTGGGAGTTAATTCCCCTTCCTGCTCCTTTTAGAGTGGTGGGGGACCCTCCCCAAAGCTTATACCAGGCACATTTTCCTATGCCCCTCAGAAAGGCGAAGATGCGCAAGGGAAGTAATAATGAAACTATAAAACACGCCAAGCAGAAAATTCCTTCTACTTGAGCTTCAGTGAAGTGTTGTGTCTCTGTTAGCAGAGAAGTGGCACCTCGGGCTAAAAAGAGGGGGACCATGCAGACGGGCTACACTCTGGGCTGGGGCAGAGAGGGTAGGAGGCTCTCAGCCCCCTCAGAGCCAGGCCAGCTTCCCCAAGATTCCCTGAGCTTGGTCTCTACAGGTGCCCTGGTGGTTGACGGGGGATTCGGCTCTGGGGCAGCTATGTTAATTTTAGATAAACTGGGTAATTTTGAAAATCATTAATACATTACACAGCAGCAAAGAAAAAAAAACTGATTTAATCTGCCTGAAATACACTGCTGAGGGGAGCAATTGTGGGAAAGTTTCAGGCATCTGGGAAACTTGGATCTAAACTGCTAATGAAGTTCTTTTCCCAACTGAAACTGCTGACTCCTGACTTCAGGAAGCCCCTCACACCTCTCCACCCCAAGAGTTTTAAGCCTGAAGAAGTCCTTCCTTCACAGATACTTTCTAGATCCCGAACTGAAGAAATCCTTTCCTTGCTCCAAGACCTTGTGCTATTAATATTCACGTGAATGGCACCACACTCCCTCTGAGCTATTCCTAAACTCGCCCACACTAAATATAGCTCCAACAGGTCTGGGAACTATCGAATGAAATGTACTTTGAAATTCTGCCTGCTGTCTACATGCCTCACGCGCTGAGTCTCAGCCTGGCACTTGCTGAGACGCTCTCTTGCCTGCGCCCTCTCTGAGGGTACAGTTGTTCACCAGCAGCGTGCGGACGCTGGCCTGGTTTAAGCTGTGCGGCGGGCAAGGTCCCGTGGCAGTTGTGACTGCTGCCCGACTTCAGCACCCTGGCCAGCGGCTGCGACCCTGGCCGGGCTCCAATCCTGCCATCAGCTCCTGCCCATTGCAGTCTTTGAGTTGCTAAATCAGAGGGCGACACAAATCACAACTGCAAAGTTGCCTTCTCTTCTCACGACAGTTTTCTGGATGGAGGGCATGGTTTTAAACACCTTCTTGCACCTCACACCGAAGTCCACATTGGTGGAGTTCTGGGAGACTGAGGGCAGGAAAGATCTTAACGATCCCTCTTGGCCTGATCTACAGAAGCAAGAGGGAAGCTCACAGACGTGACTTGCCCGAGGCACAGCACCAGCCTCTCAGCCCATGGGCCTTCTGGGAAGGCCAGGTGAAAAGTATGGGCGGCCAACATACGCGAGGCCAAAGTTGGTAATTTACACTGCTAAGAGGAAGAAATGATCTGCTTACGGATTCCACTCCAGCACCCCGACCATCTCTGTCCTAAAAAATGGAATGCATCAGGATTCACCTCTGCACAGAAGCAGCGTGTGAGCTGTTTTGAACAGCAAATCCAGCACTTTTTTTTAAATTTTATTTTATTTTATTTTATTTTTATTTTTTTCAAAGTTTTATTGATAAACAGATAGCAATGAGACAGTTTCAAATCAAATCGGAACAAATCCAGCACTCTTAAGGAGCTGGCTTAAAAAAAAAAAAAATGAGCTGGCTTAATTTCTTCAAATGTAGTGTGTGTGTGTGTGTGTGTGTGTGTGTGTGTGTTGGGAAAACTATGCTGACACACATAGAGTGTACTAAAAAGAAAAGCTAAAAGGTGTTTGAACTTCCCCCTTTGCCTTCGTAGTACTGTTTTTCATGTAAATGGGGCAACTGTAGACCAGCAAAGATGGCACTAGGCCACACAGGGCGAGTGGAGTCTATCTGCACCCATGCTATGAAAGGCTCTGTCCCCCTCATCTGGGCAGACTATGTTTCAGGAGCTCACAGGTAAGAGAGCTCCCCTCCCTGACCTCTTTTTCTTCCACCAGGAGGAAGAGCAGTGTGTGTGTGTGTGTGTGTGTGTGTGTGTGTGCTGGTGGTTGGCCTGTACACAGCAGCATGCGGTTGGCATGAATCCCTAATTGTTGCCCCCACTCCGCAGGCCCTGGTCTGCACCCCCCAGGTGCGGACGGCTGGGAGTCTAAGTGGCAGATGCCTCCTCTCCATGCGCAGACAGGGCTCCTATTATTGCTAATGCCTGCTACGTGCTCGCAGAAGACAGAATATATTCCAAAGGTTTATTTTCCCTCTGCTGAATTGATTCCAATCTACAGTGCTAGCCCTGCTTTTGGCTCCTATGAGGCAAACTATAAAAAAATCCTCAAATAAAATATGTAGGCATAGTCTGCTAAGACAACTCTGTGAATGACACTCTAAATATTCACTAGGAGCCAAATTAGTATCAACTTTTTTTTTCTTTTTTATGTTGTGTGTTTTGTGTTTTCTTTTTGTGGCTGGAGTAAGTTCCCCTGGGGTAGCACATGGCCCTGGTAAGGGACTTCAGTGGACACCACCATGCTCCTGCACTCTTTCCTGCTGGCCGACACGACCTCTCTGGTCCCACAGAGGCCACCTCAGGAAGCGTTGTTAAGTGGTGTAATTTCAAACACTTGACTTAGTGCCACGGTGTGTCTGCAGTATCTGCACTTGGTTCTGCTCTGTCGAGGGTGCGGCTGGCAGGAAGCAGACGCGATCGTTGTTTCCTAACAGCTCCTCAAGGCTCTTGGAGGCCCCTTAGCCGAATCTCTCAGAGGAAAGGGGTCTTCTCCTTGGTCATTTTACCCATGGTTCTCCAGGCCCCTAGCCAGCAGTGTGGCTCAGTTTCCCCTGCCCCATGCCCCCAACACCTCCCTCCCCCCGATGTTCCCTGCCCGCCTCCCACACCTGCTGCCTCCAGAAGAGGTGACCCTGCTGCCGTCTTGAGGATGCCATTCTTCCAGCTGTGCCGAGCCCAGGGGTGCAGCTGAGAGTGAGGAGCCGCAGGGCTGGCAGGGATGCGCCAGGGCACCCTGGCTGGGGGAGGGCACTGCAGCCGGTGGCCCACATCCTGACGTACACTGAGGCGCAGACTTTCTGAGGGGCCTGCCAGGCCGTCAGTCACTAGTCAACCCAGACCATCCAATGTGGCAAATTATCACCATGTCAAAGCCATCCAGGAGAAAAAAACCACCTCTAAATAACAACAGGGGGAGAAAAGAGCTTCCAGCCTCTGGACCGGATAACAATTTCACTTCTTACCTTCTGCGCCCCTGAGGCCATTAAGGGAAGGGTGAAAGTCACCCCAGGCAGGGCTACATCTCGCCAGGTGGTATGTATTTTGCTTCCAGATGTACAGTTCTTCTAAGCTGTCAAAATAACCACCACATGCTTAAAGCAGATAAACTTCAAAACCTCACTGGTTTTGGAGGGATTTGATGCAGGTCTGTTTTTTAAATAAAGTCACCTCGAGAAAAGTGAGCCAGGCTTGCCCAAGGGACCAAGGGAAATTTCTGTCTTTAGTGCTGGGGGGGGCGGGTGTTTGATCTTCATGAATGTTTAAACAAGATCATTTCATGTGATTTCTTAATGTATAAATTCTTGTAAAATATGGCCTGCCTCTGAAGGTAGCAAAGGTGGATGCTGTATAATTCCTTGTATAGATGTGAATGGATGCAGGTTCTTTC